TTTTACATGCTTCTATTTATGATTGCAGGACTTCGCTGATATGAACGTCTAATGAACATTCGGGACGTTTAAACTTTGTCTAGACGACTAGTGAGCTGCTCGAACATATCAGCTCCTTTCAAAAGAATTTTTCAACAGTTCCTATGATAGGAGTTGATATGGAACTGTCATACCCCTAGTTAATAGCCATTTAACTGTAATAGTTACTTTACATTTTAGGACACACAGTTAAATGCCTGTTTTTCGCAATTATAACAGCCAAAAAATTTACAGTAAACAGTGACTGTTAACTGCCTTTTCTCGAGCCTTTATCAACAATCACATAACAGACAATAAACTGACTGTTAGTTGGCAGTTTTTTAACAATTATTTGGGTGTTAAAAGCCAGTTTTTTTGGCATACATTTAAAACGCATTACATGGCTTATTAAATGTCAGTTATTTTTCACCTGGATACTCACATTTGTGAAGACATTAGCCTTTGAGACCTTTTCTCACGGCTGTGCATTATTTTGAGATCTTGCACAATCACTGTGTTTAACATCAAGTTCGAAAAAAACAACGCGGGTAGAAACACGAAAAAATATAATAGGATATCTACAAATATTATCACATATTGTGTGAAGATAGAAAAAGAAAGGAAAACTAAACTTACGTAATATCTGATACAGTCTTAAAAAAGTACGCGCTTGACCTCAAGAAACGCAAGCTCATGAATTCCTTAAGTAAAGAAAGTCAAGCACATGAGGAAAAATAATTGCTTGGGACAGTCAATGAGATATTGAAGCGCTTGCGATAAGAATTTCATGTGCATGAGTTTCTTGAGATACGAAACTCAAGCACATGAGCCAAGAAAGGCAAGTGCATGACTTTCGAAAAAAATGCGTTTTACATGAATAAGAAATGTCTTCACGCCATGAGATTCTTATCCAAGAAAATCAAAAAAGTCATGTGGTTGAGAAAAAAAGCTTCACTAGGGTAGTCAGTCAATTAGAAAAAATACGTATCATTACTGGTTTGATAGTTGGAGTGAACAGGAGTATCATTGACTAGTTTTTTGTTGAATTGATTGATTGTATCCACTATTGTTTCTACTCTACAAAAATCATACTTTTTGATTTTTTGGCTTGATTTTGCTTTTAAGCAAGAAGAAAAAAAGAGTATGTTTAAACGGCCACAATTAGTCTGTAAGGTGGGTCATCGATGTGGACAGATAACTATTTTTCTTTTCTCTTTGTTGTTTCTTCATACTGATGGCTCATAAACAAAACTTGTGTGATAAATTAAAAATAAAATATTCACGTGTAAACGTCAACTATTCTCTAAATTACGTTAGTATTTGTTTATATCATAAAACACTGGTTTTTATCTGTAGAACGCATGATTATATTAGTGAAAAGTAGTCAGGTATGCAAGTTGCTTTTCGTTGCGCGCATGAGTATTCAGTGGAAAGACCACAGCATAAGAATCAAAATAAATCATCGGAAAAGGGGCCTTAGAAGAACGTATGGACTTAAACTGAAATTGATCTATAAGTCAGATTATTATTCCGAATATATTAAATTGTAGCTAAAAACTTTCTGTAGAAAAGTGTGTGTTTAACGAGCTTTTCTGATGTATGTATCAAACAATTTAATCGAGTGAAAATTGGAACTTTTTCAATTAAACCAAAAACTAAAATCGCGTTAACTCCCCAGGCCAACAGAACGATCCGTTTACGTCGTGTAAATGGCTTGTTAACGGTGTAAAAACTGACTGCAATATGGTCCTAGTTAACGGTGCAAACGGTACATTTATAGCCCATTGATGTAGACTTAACAGAACGTTAACACGCCGTTAACTTGGCCTTTCTAAACGTCCTAGACACTAAATGTAGGTCGGTCCGACGCTAGCTAAATGTTAATATTTTTGAATTGAATGATGAGTGGTTGGATAAAGAACAAAGAACGAAACTGTCGGTTTGTGGATTTCTCGTAAATATTGATAGTTAGATGAACACAACTGGTCTTCGTTCGTTTTCACAGAGTTTTACATGTATATTAATATGACTGTCCGATACTGGCATCTATGACTCAGTCTTTATCTTAAAACGCTTGATTCGACAATGTGGAAGCTTTTTGTGATATTCTTACAGAAAACATGGGCCAGAAGATGTGAATAGATACCAGTAGATTATCGAAAAGATTGAAGTCTTCAAATGATTGGTACTCTATTATCTCGAATGTAGTAGGAGAACGAATAAATAGCAGAAAATTGAGTTTATTGACTGTCCGAAAAAAACACGGATCAAGTGTACAACTCTACGGTTGAAGTTTAGGCCGACCCCATACGAATAATGGCGGAGCCAGCTACTATGCTTCGAGTGTGAAACAGCTTTTACTTTTTTTGTGCCAGCTGGGATTTTTTCCGGATAGTAGACTGGTTCTGCACTTCAAAGCATAGCCGTACCACACTTGAAGTGTGGTTGATTCGCGCTTCAAATGTAGTATAAGCTCTACGCTCTACTCGTGATAAGATGGTAAAACATAGATCCAGTAGAACTGCAGTACCACACTTTAAGTGCGTAAAAGGTAATCCACATATGATACGGATGAAGCGTGGTATGTTCCCTTATTGAACGTTCATTTTGGGCGACGTTTATCACGCTTCATCCGTGATTTTTTATATTTGAAGTGTTAAACGTTTTGCAGAGTGCTGTTTTGTTCATTTATCATTTGTTTATCTTATGATTACATTTACATCACGAACAAGTCCCGACTTTTTTTGAACTATGTTGTATAATCATGAAAGAAAACGTTTCAGTCAAGTTTGCTGAGTAAAACTGAATTTTTCTTTTGAGTATATCACTTCCTTACATATCATTATACCAGTTGAATGGTATACGATACGGTTTCTCGATAAGCCGTAAGTTACTTTTTTGTTGCTGTTATCTTTTATTAGCCAGAAAAACATACTTTGATCTATTGATCAGTTTTTAAATAAGAGCATGTTTCTGCTCAGTGATAGCTACTGCCATAGGAACTTGAGTCATTTTTATTACAATAAAAGAGCTTTTTATTCTAGATGTGACACTATGGGTTGTGTGTTTTGCAGAGATCCTTTACCGACTGCCCAAGACAAAGTCCCTATTGAATTCACGCCAGTGATAATTGATAAAAACTCGAGAGGCCGATGTATGTAACGATGCAGAGAGCCTGTCATACTTCTTATGAACATCTTTATTTTTTCTATAGCTGGAAATTCTGTACAGTCGGAGCGCAAAAACGATCGACAGCATTCGAATTCAAAAGAAAAAGGTAAAGTTTGGTTTTATAAGATCAGGAAAAACCCGTATGGTATCTCATGCCGTTCTATTATATCGTAAAATATTAGACAATAAGATAGTTGCCTATATTTACGCGTTTGTATCCGCATTTTCATTTAATTACTAAACTACTTATTTGTATTAGGAACGGGGAAGAAGCAACAAAAATGTTCTAATTGAGGCATAATAGTTATTGTTTTCTCGTTCTGGTTGCCGGACAGTATTCATCACGTTTCTTTGCTATCATACTTGTTCTCCTAGGAAACCGATCCATTAACTTCGTTCGAAGACAGAACACGATAAGAGCGTGGTACTGGAGATTATGAGTGCAGCTGACGGTCTTATAGTAAACCTCCATTTTTGTTAGCTTTTCAAAATTTCATAATTAAACATGAAATGTTCTCTTGCTCATCAAATACGATGTTTTGCCAAAATAAAGTAATTTCGGTTAGCAGACTGTGATGTACCTCAAATGAATTTACCTAGTCTAAATAATCCATGGTGTTGCCTCTGAAATGATTTAGTGCCTGGGATGGTCTAAATAATTAGATTTTCTACCATTTTATCAATTAACTCCACCGATTGCAGCATTCATTTGAAAAACATGTTGTAACGAATTTTTAACAGAATGTTTCTACGACAAAATTTAGCGCCTAGGAACACCTTAACCTATGTAAAAATTTTATATGTCTCAAACGCATCTATATTGAAACATCTGGACGCATTCAAACACAAATATTCACGTGGGTACTGAAACCGTTAGAATCTGTTGAAATTCGCTTTTGTTCAGTTGTTGAGTAAACAATTATGCGTCTGTTTCGAGTGCGACACGTTGTTATGAATGGTTATATTAGGTGTATGGATATCTATCTTTGAAGAAAAAGGGTGTCGTGCGGCAATGTAATTGCTGCGTTAATATAGTTGAGTTCAAATTAATTTAGTTATAAACGTGCTTTGTGTCTTCTGACAATGTTTTCCTTGTTTTCAGGCAAAACTTATGTAGCTATTTATGATTATGATGCCCGTACGGACGAAGATCTGACATTTCGAGTAGGTGAAATACTTATTGTCTTCGATGACAGGTACGGCATTGAATTAGTACGTTTTCTTTTTTGAGTTTTTATGTGTTTATTTTCATGTTTAGCCAAGAAGATTGGTGGCCGGCAAAACATTCCCAAACTGGTTTGAAAGGTTATATTCCAGCTGTTTATGTAGCGCCGCATGGTGGATTAGATGTCAATGTGTAAGTCCGTGCCTTTGACTTCTTTTTCTTTAATCAGCACTTGTTTCCTCTTTGTGCTTAGTTGGTTTCACAATAATGTGTTGAGAAAAGAAGCCGAACGACTATTGTTAAATCCAGTTAATGCACGAGGATGTTTTCTAGTTAGAAATTCAGAAAACGCACCTGGTATGTACACACATTTTGTTTGTTCTCGCCTCCTGGAAGTCTTTGAGTTGATTATTCAAATTGAAACACCCATGCAGATGAACAGCTATACTATCATTTTCAATTAATAACTTTCTCGTTTGTTGTTTGCAATTATATTCGCACAAGTTTATTTTCGTTTCATTTAAGGTCCCTATTCATTGTCCGTCCGTGATGCAGATGATCAACGTGGTTCTCATGTGAAACACTATAAAATACGTTCATTAGACGCAAAGCAGGGCTATTATATAGCACCAAGAAGAGTATTTAAAACATTAGAAGAATTAGTCAAACATTACAGTGGTACGTTACGACAGTTCTTGTTCATTTATTTTGATACTAATTTACCAATCGGATTAACGTGAGAAAGCTTGTTAGCATAACAGATATACTCTTCAAGAGATAAAATAGTCTTCTCATTATTTTGCTCGATCGCCTTTCTTTTCTGTTAAGCACCCAAGCGTCGAAAAAAAATCTAGTATCGCCCGATTCATCTAGATTACTAGATTTTTACTCGATTGCAATTATTGCATAACGACAGTAGAAATCTAACAATCGGGCGATTGCTAGCTTTTTTCTAGTTGCAACTACCGATTTATCGTCCGATAATCGATCGATTTAGCTATTGGTAGTTACACGTGCAGACACATCTAGTTAAAACTCCCTTTTCCAACTAGTAATCTAGATGACAACTAGTCGCCTATCGCCCGATTACGGACGAAATGAATCTAGATTTTTTCCATAGATGATGTTTCCCTGGGCAAGGATAAACTAATACAAACTACTGTGTTCGTTTCTTAGTGCACGAAAGTCTTAGTAACAGTTTTCTTTGTGATTCAGATTAATCGTATTATTATTTTTTTCAGAAAATGTCGATGGTTTATGTTGTCAGTTAACTATTGCTTGTCCTCGACCAAAACCGACTACATGTACAATATCAAAAGATGTTTGGGAAGTACCAAGGAATAGTTTACAGTTTATAAGAAAATTAGGTCAAGGAATGTTTGGAGAAGTGTGGGAAGGTAAGTGCTACATTAAAGTTTAATTCTCATTACATTCATTCATAAGATTCACTGAATAAGCATGTTTAAAATGTATATTTGTATAGTATGACATTTGTTTAATGTCTTCTTTCTATCTGCTGCATCTCTATTTATCGATAGAAAGTTTTTTAACTGTAGTTCTTAACTGATATACTTCTGTCGAAGAAATATGATACAAGTATGACTTGTATGAGCGAATCGGATACAACTTATTAGCTAGAAAGTCAGTGCATTTATTTTGGAGAAGTTTTAAACAGTTCTACCCAAAATAAATGTTTACTCTTTATGTATTTATAGGTAAATGGAATCGAACGACTGATGTAGCTATAAAAACGATGAAAGCAGGTACAATGTCTACGCAAGCATTCGTTGACGAAGCAAATATAATGAAAAAATTACGTCACGATAAATTAGTTCAATTGTATGCCGTATGTACCGAGCCTGATGATCAACCCATTTATATAGTCACAGAATTGATGGCAAATGGAAGTTTACTCGATCATTTACGTAGTGGCACCGGTTGGCAAATTTTTTTGTTTTCGTTTTTTGCAGCCTTAAAAATGACTGACCTTTTTCCTATTCTTTAGGTCGCGATTTACGACTACCGACTTTAGTTGACATGGCGGCACAAGTATGAGATGATTACAATAGAAGAAAATACATAACATTTATCTTTTGTTTTACTTTTCAGATTGCTGCTGGAATGGCATATCTTGAACATGAACACTATGTAAATAGATGATGTTTGTGTCTTTATTTTTCTAAATTTAAATCATCGTTTTTTTTTTAGATTCATCGTGATTTAGCAGCGAGAAATGTATTAGTGGGAGATAATAACGTGTGCAAAATTGCTGATTTTGGACTAGCCAGAATCATTAACGAAGATCAATATGTGGCTAAAGCAGGTGCCAAATTTCCTATCAAATGGACAGCGGTGTGTATTTATTTATATTTTTGACTTAAAAAAGTTTATACGGTTAATATTATTTGACGTATTACATCATATTTGAATATTTTTAGCCTGAAGCAGCTATCTATGGAAAATTCACTATTAAAAGTGATGTATGGTCATATGGAATTTTGCTTTATGAACTAGTTACACATGGACAAATACCATACCCAGGTAATATTGAATCTTTGTTTTCTGAATATTAATGTGAATTGAATAGTTTGTTTTGCATCTGTTTTGATCACTCGTTTAACTCTTGTAGGTATGGCAAATCGCGAAGTTTTAGATCAAATTCAACGTGGTTACCGTATGCCACGTAGTGAATCTTGCCCCGAGAAAATTTATGAATATATGCTACGATGTTGGGATTCCAATGCCGATAATCGACCTACCTTTGAATATTTACATATGTTTTTTGATGATTTTACAGCATCATCTGGTCCCCAATATCATGCACAAAATTGATTGTTACTTTAGCATTTTTTCATTGAGTTTTCTTTCCCCGGCCTATTCTTTTATTTGAATGATAACAATTTTGTCAGAGCAGTTTCTTAGATGAGTGTGATCATAAGCTCAGGTTCTCTTTATGTGTGATGGCTATGTTTCATTTCACAAATGGATGTAATTTGTTTTTTTTTGTACATTTTATTTTATACGCTTAAATTTTATGACTCAATTGTATAGCGCATATTAGTTTTGATATTGCAATCCTTTTCTTTTGCTCACTTTTGTTTGCGCATCAATCTTTTTTTAAATATTCTTAGAGAACAGTGTCATAACCATCAATCGTGAATGCATGAGAAAGCAATATTCTCTTTCCGCTTACTATCAAAATTTAGTTATTAGAAGATTTGAAATCGAAAGTCAGATTTTTTTGTTTTCTTTATCGTGCTGAGTAATGATTCCTGTAGACTTATTTTTTGACCACTGTGGTATTTTACATCTACTGAATAATTCATGATCGTATTATAATCTAATTACGTCATGATGGACTATTACTAAGAAATTCTGTCAGAATATGATCACATTTATCTAGTAAAACTATTTATAGAATGAAGAAAAAAGAATTTTCTAACTGTCTTGGAGTTTGATAATTATAGTTTTCATTTTAATGCATACATTTGATATTCAATGAATATTTTGTTTTGCTTTTAAAACGAACTTTCTCTACTTTCTAAATGGAGAAATGGAGAGGGATGATTAATGATTTGTGATAGATAGATATATACAACAGCCAGATAATTTTCCATGCCAAATATTTGTTAAATTCATGACGGTTTTCCTTTGATCAAACTAATAGTTGTTCATGTTTTTCTATCTTCGTTTCACGAACAGTTTTTCTGTTCTAAACAAACAATGCTTCGTTTTTGTCATTTTTCCACTTTTTTTTTCTAATATTTGTGAATCAATTTTTCAATATATAAAGCAATGTCTTTTTTTTTTTTGATTTTCTGTTTTGTTTAATTATTGTTGTTTCTAGAAGAAAAAAAAAGTATCATCTTTTGTGAAAATGTTATGCTGTCTTTTGTATCTATGAGAAAAATACAAAATATATTAAGAAATAACGAAAATTTCATGGTGAAATAAGATGAAATATCTATTATGAAATGTGTTATTTTTTTATACTTAGAAAATCAGCTTGGTATTCCGAAAGTTGCCATATAAACTTTTTCGTCTTTTTTCATGGATCCTAAATGTCCTCTTCAAAAAGAGGACCTAAGCGACTTGATTTTTCCTAATCTGAGCGTATTATCGATCCTAGAGGATCGATATTTCTTTTTAGTTATGGTGGTCCTGAAAATGAGTGGAAACATAGGTCTCTCATATAGGATAATATCTAGAAATAAAACCTTTCAAAACTATAGAACTTTTCATTGATTTCCAAAACCGTTTATTGAAGTCAGAGATATTGCGCAGATAAAACAGAGTGTATCTTGATGTTCTTAACTAGTTCGGAACGATTTTTTTAATGAAATATGAGTTTCTTCATTTTGGTTTTGTACTATGAATAGATAGTCCATGAAAGAAAATGAAAATGTTTATATGACAACGTTCAGAATACTAACCTGATTTTTCAAAGATTTTAGAAAAAACCAGCCTTTAAAAATAATTTTGAAAAGTTTTTTTCCATACAGCCACGTGCCAGTCTTGACTATTGAATTGCGAAAATCGGATACGTCTATCACCTTCTTGTAAACTTTATTCAAAAAACGGCGGAGTGCCTTCGATTTTGATTTCGAATCCTATTTAAAATTCAACAAAATATTTGCTCTTTGTCAGACTTGCACAGCAAATAAATCTGCATAATTATGAAGTCTTAAGAGAACATAAAAGACTTGTTAATTCGAAATGTGCAAGATGGTATCCGGTCACATGCTCCAGAGATTTCCTCTCCTAGGACATCGGCTACCAGGAAAAAAGCAAGCCTGATTTTGGCTGTCCTAGAACAATTGCTCTTATAGGACTTTTGCTCTTTTAGAAGTTTTGCTTTCCAAAGTATGTACAAGTATGAAGTATAGAGTATTTAACAATAGGCTTAATTTTCTCCTCTTGTCTCTTGCCTCTTTTATGAATACATTCTTGTATAGCAAAGAAAAGATTCAATAATCTATAGTAATTGATGAAGACTGATTCATGATAGATAGTACAGCAAAGAGAAACGGTTTAACTAGTTCGACGTGCTGTACAAGAACAGAGAAAGAAAGACAATGCGACTGAAAATCAGCTGATGTATATTTTTACTTAT